GGCGCTGTGGCAGGCGCCTGTGGTCCCAGCTACTTGGGAGGCTGAGGCAGGAGACTCGCTTAAGCCCAGGAGTTGGAAGTTGCTGTGAGCTGTGATGCCATAGCACTCTACCCAGGGGACTAGCTTGAGGCTCTGTCTCAAAAAAAAAAAGAAATCCCCAAATCAAGGACAAAGGAATACAGAAGACCTTACTAAGGGGGTTCATGGGGGAGGAATCCCTGTGTCATCCCAGCACTCCTGCCCCAGGCTCCCCCCTGTAAGCACCCAGGAGAGAGCACCCAGAAGCACCCCTTCTCCCTTTCCCAGTGACTATGTCTGTAAGACCATGGCCTCTAGTCTGCTGGTTCTTCTACCCTGCTTCCTATACATATTTGCATAGATGGAAACTCTTGAGTCTTGGAAAGCTCTGCTGCTGTGCTGCTGCCATGGCAACCACAGGGTCTGTGGGGGAAGAGCCTGTCTGCATACTCAACACAGGCATCAGAGGTTTCCTGGGAACGCTAAGTATGCAGCCCTTTCACCCTGTCCTGACAGGCTCCCACCCTGCCAGGCCCCAGCCAGGCCTCAGACAGGTGTCCAGGGATGCTTCCCTGTTCCTCTCTGGGAGCAAAGCATCCTTCATCCTCCAAAGAGAAAGCTACAACAGATACCAAAAAAAATGGCCAGGTCAGAGAGTGTATTTAGCACAAGGATCAGAGGTTCAAGCACTTATCTGACATTACTGGCTCTGCCACCAGCTCTTCTTCAGGAGGAGACAGCAGCTGCACAAGCCTTCCCCTCCCCGCTAGTCCATCTACCTGCTTCACTGTCACAAGGGCAGAAGGCTCCTCTCAGACCCAAGTCGAGCGCTGCATGGTTGTATTCTGGGTCTGGTGACTTTCCCTTCACATAGTACTTCTCAGAAACAGTCACAGGGATCACCCAGGCACCTCATAACAATCAGATTCCCAGACAACAGCCTAGATCTATGGAATCCATCCCCAAAGTTCAGGCTCTCAAACCAGAGACACCCCTTATTAGAACCAAGGCTAATTTCTACCAGAACCAGGGACAACTCCTATTAGGGAAGCCTGACAAACAGGGCTCTGCAAGGGACCTGGGGCTGCAGAAGGAGTAGCTGTGAAATCACAAGACTGGGTTTGATTCTAAACCCAGTGGTCCAAGCACCAGGCCTCCCCATCCCTAATTTGTAGATTTATGGAGGTAACAATGCCATTGAAGAGCTCTCATGGGTAAGAGTGAGACCAAGAGCAAAACTTTATTTAAAAAAACTCCAGGCTCGGCGCCTGTGGCTCAAGCCACATACACCTAAGGTGGCGGGTTCGAATCCAGCCCGGACCCGCCAAACAACAATAATGGCTGCAACCAAAAAATAGCCGGGCATTGT